TCCTTCCTCGTCTTGTCTGCGTCAGGAAATATGATTCCCTGATTCAGGATCAGGCCCGAGAACTATCCTACCTACGCCAGAAAATACGAGAAGGGAGAGGTATCTGTTATCTTCTCACCCAGCACGCAAAAGATACAGTGAAATCTTTCGAGGACCTTCTAAGGAGCAACGATATCGACTACTACTTGGGGCAGAGCTTCCGGGAGCAGCTCGCCCAGGGGAGCCAGCTGATAGAGAGGCTCACCAGCAAACTCAGCACCAGTAAGTGGACCCCAGGGCTTTGGGACACTCTCAGTCCCGCCCACAGCCCCCGGGGACTGAGACGAGGGCCATTACAGGAGGGACTGGGTTGGAGAGGCCATGGTTACAACTGTAGAAACGTCATCGTTCATGGAACGTGGCCCTTAGGGAAGGAGGCTGCGTTCATCCAGCGCCAAGGGGGAGAAAGGGAGATGGGATCAGAGGACCTCGTGATGGTGAAAGAGCCCTGAACTCAGCCCCGCAAGATGCAGGCTGCAGCCTGGATGCTGCTGTTAACTTCCTCTGGGCAAATGACTTACCTTTTCGGTTTCTCTGTTTCTTCATTTATTGCGTGGTACACGAATGTAATCCAACGTAGATAAAGCGCCATGCCCTTTTGAGCAGGGTTTAGGCGCTGAAGGTCATAGTCCAAGGGCTACGAATGTTGGTTATTATTGGAGCCCTTTACTTAGAAAGAATTTCCTGAGAGCACCTGAGATTGTACAGCAGGATCAGCCTTGGGGCCCAACCTTGCCACCTCCTGGTGGCAGGTGCAGAGGTGGGACAGGGCTGTGAGTCATCCCCTCAGAGCAAGCTATGATGGGACACAGCCCTACAGCCACAGATAAGTCTGTGGCAGATGTGGAGGCTGGAATGTTCCAGAAGGAGGCCGGGCAAGTGCCTTTTAAACTTCTTCCCGTTGATTTAGGGCAGGGGAAGTCACGATGGCGACCAGCAGGTTAGGGAAGGCCTGCCGGTGAGCTAGGAGGGCCAGCTGGGTCTCCTCTAATGACACAATCTAGGGTCTCCCAGAATAACCCTCCCCCATATCCTGGACACGCACAGAGTAACCACTATTCTGTGCCCCAATAGGCTCCTGCATTTATAACGTGTGAAGTGGGACCTGTTTAATTTCTTACCGCTTCTTTCTGAATTTGTTTTGCAGAGGATCATAAAAGTGAGAAAGATCAAGCTGGACTTGAGCCGCTGGCCCTCAGGTAATCAAAACAGGACCTTGGAAAGGGATCAGGAACAAGGCCCGAAGGGCCAGGCATGGCTGCAGCTTCACAGTTGGGGTTGCGGGGAAAGCGGGTTGTAATCAATGAATTTTCATGGAACACTTTACTCTCCTTTGATATAATTCTACTGATTTCTATTTGCATACTTTTTCTCCTGGCATAGGAACCGACAGTCAGTCTGAGTGAATGTGAACTAACCAGGTTTCAGGGGATCTCTGCAGCCCTGAGGGGCTCCTCTGTTTTGCCTCCGTGTGTTTAAAGGCCAGGGTGTACTTTTTGCCAACCTGGCTTGCCCCGTGTTGAGTTGGTAATAAGTTTATAGCCACTCGATTTCCTTGGGAAAAAAGAATTGTTATAGTTCCTGGTGAAAAAGGCCGAGATGTTGCGAATCACTGGGAGGCTACTGCCTTAGAAACCAGTTTTCAATGAGTCACTGCATCTAGTTTTATAGTGAGCAATAAAATACGGGCTCAGAGTTTGTCGTGGCCACTAGTTCGAGCCCCTTTGTGTGCTTTAGACCACACAGTGCTTCTCAGAATATCCGTGACGAAGGACAAAGTGTTTATGTTTTTGCTCTGATTTTCATTTCTAACCCATCACAGACACACACATGCTCTGTCCCTCCGTCCTCCAGCATACTGCACTCACGCTCTCGGATGTCACGGCAGTGCCCAACTGCTACGTGATTCCCAGGCTCACCTGTGGTTTCTGTACTCGGCTGGTTGGAGACTGGTAACTGACAGCTCTCAGGCTGCAGCCGTGGTGGGGACCACACTCGAAGCAGCGGCATCTTAGAGGGCGAGCTCAGTCTCCACTGGCCCGCCGTGTGCCGTGTGGCCAGTGCACTGAGACATCCCTTCTCCTCCCTCTGCACCCGCCTGCTCTCTCTCCCTAAGCAGAAGTGGGTTATTTCCGTCATTCTCCGCAGCAATGGTCCCCTTGACCTCTGCGACTTTTTCCATGTGCCTCAGTCAGGTCTAGCTGGTCCGGTGACCTTGGTTTCACCTGTTGCTCTCTCACCCCACTAGGCTCAGCAGGGAGCTGCAGGAGAAGGAGAAAGTGATCGAAGTCCTGCAGGCCAGGCTGGACGCGGGGTCCCTCACCCCCTCCAGCAGCCACGCCTTGTCCGACTCCCACCGCTGTCCCAGCAGCTCCTCCTTCCTGTCCGAGGAGCTGGAAGCCTGCTCTGACATGGACGTAGCCAGCGAGTTCACGCACTACGAGGAGAAAGCTCCGCCCGGTCATTCAGGTAGCCGCCACTTCCTGAGTGGCACCAGCTTTATCTAGGCTGACAGGTGACCTCCATACCAGGCCTCAGAGACCCACCTTGGTGTGGATCAGGCCGAACACGGCTCTGGGACCAGGCACCGAGCACAGGCCCCAGGGGTCTGGGATCTTTGCTCTGCTCCGGACTCTCCGAGTTAGCCCTGTCGCCAGGTGTCCACCGGCAGGTGCGTGCTGCAGGTCACCGGGGGCAGCGAGAGGGTCACGGGAGACGTTTCTTTCCCACGGCCTCATGAGCGCAGATCTGTCCGGCTGCCCCCTCCTTCAGGAGGGCACACGTCACCTCCCGGCCGTGAGCTTAGCTATAGCTTCTGGACAGCGTCCCTGGGTGTCTGTGGATGTCCGCAGATGCCGCTGGTCTTGCCTGGTATTGTTGGAGGTGCCATTCTAATGGTTTCAGGGCTCTGAGCCCCAGTGTCACCTCTAAGGTGGCTCATCTCGCGAGAGCTGTCTGCAGACAAGGGCACGAATGCTGCTCTCCGTCCTCGTCCTCCCCTGGTGCCCGGGGGTAGCTGTGAGCCAGGCTCCAGCTCTCTGCAGAACATCAAACATTTTCTTTCATTCATGGGTTTTGTAGATTCCATCCATCATTCAAGTCATTCTGCTGTACTGTCTTCTAAACCATCAGCAACCAGTGCACCTCAGGGGGTTCAGGCCGAACCCAGCAGCAACCCCAGCAGCTTGCCTGCTCCCCAGAAACGCCCCCAGGAGGCCAGCCAGGCCCATCCAGGTATGCAACCGCCACTGGCCAGGGCTCATCTCTCCCCCAGCTGCCTGGTTGACCATGTTCTTCAAGGACAGATGTTTGCACTGCTAGGGGCTCATGCGCATCAAATCCTCCACTAAATCAAGAGGCCATCCTAATTTGCTAATAGTTTCCGACATTTTGTGTTTCAAACGTTTTAGGAAAAAGGAAGTCATCACAGCAGGCTTTGAGCTGCATACCAATTTTGACGAGCAGTTGGCTAAATCATTTTAAAAACAAACATTTCCATTTTTTTCCTTTCATTTCGCCCTGGGGAGCAGAAGCAAAATGTTTCTCCCAGGATTACCGTAGCCAAAGAACAAAAAGAAATTAACATCTACTGCCCCCTGTACGTGCTGCCCATTGTATCTGCTGCAGCCCCTGCAGAGGGCGGAGCTGCTCACTGCCAGCTGAGGCCTCCGAATCCTCAGACTCGCATTAGTTATCACTGAGGATTTCTGTGTGGTTTGGCAGGCCTTGACGTGTACGTGCTGTGTGTCCTGGGGCCAGTAAGAGGGGCACATTTCGTTTACCTGCCTCGGCATAGTTGCTGGGGTGCACTGCTCAATCACAGCTCTGCCCCGGAGATGCAGCGAAAGGGCCAAGCCTCGTCCTTGCCTCCCACCCCCACCGCAGCTGGCCGGCTGCCTGCAGTGTGGTGGGTGGCAAGGTCGGAGTTGTGTAGAGGTGCCCCAGAAAGCGCGGTGCTTTCCTTCCGTCGCCCCCATCTCTCCTGACGTCTTACCAACCGGAGTCTTGAGGAGGAGGACGTGTCCGCCTCTTCTGAGCCTGGGCTCAGTTTCTGCTCCAAGCGGGCGGCAGCTGGACCGGGAAGCAGTGGGGAAAGGCGGTTCGCCCAGCACGGTGGACTCCTGCGTGAATGCCTCGGGCTCAAACAGAACAGGAGGCCAGGGGTTTTAAAATCAGCATGCGCCCCTAGGGGACTGTCACGGGCAGCTCGGGGTCTTTGCAGTACTGTTCTGATCCTGCATCAGCTTCCTGGGGCGAGAGATGTGTTTTAGAATGTAATCGTTTTCTGCCACGTGGGACATTTTCCGCACGTCGGTCTTAGTTTCTGGTCGGTCTTAGCTTCTGCTCTCTCGGTGGGCTACCTGCCCTGTAACTGTCTGTAGGAAAGAGGAAGCAGATTGAAACATCGGAACTTCCCAAGGTTCTTAAAGACCTATCTGCAGCTGTGTTGCACCTGATCCTCTGTGAAGATTTGTTTAAATGCAAATTCCTACGCTCTACTCTCAGAGGTCACGATTCAGTAGGTCCACATTAGGGCCTGAGGAATCTGTGTACATTAAGACTTTATTCTAAATGATTCAAGTGCCCAGACAGGTTTGTAAGCCATTGTGTCTAGGTTGCTTCACTGAGGTCTCTGTTTTTCATTTGGTGAATGAATGTGTTGATTTGGAGTTCTGAGATCTGTTTCCATCAGTCTTGATTCGCATACATTAGTAATGCAAATTTCCCCACAGCCCAGACCTCTCCTGCCCCCGCACCCCAGGGTGAGCCCTGACGCCTTCAGAACAGGCGTTCTGGGTGTAGGGAGCGTCTTAGCACGGGGCAGGACTGGCACGTGCTGGGAGCAGCACCCAGGGGCCCTGGGGAGCATTCCCGCACAGCTCCCCTGACTGGTGCTGGGATGGCTGGCCTGGGACCGCCAGCTGCCGGGGTCACAGTCATGCCACCTTGCCTTCCGGAGCCAGCTGTTTGCAGGGTGAGCATAGAATCTGTATACGGCACAGCCCTGGCAGGGGTGAAGCGGGGGCTCAGCCAGGCCAGCCTCTTGGGCAGCAGGGCTCACCCTTGGCGGTGGCAGTGATCACTCTTAGCCGGCCCAGCCAGCACCACGTTGACGGACGGCCCCTCCCCATGGAGACAGCTGGTCAGGGAACGTATCCTCTCCGTTTTTTACCCGTCCCTTTCTCTCCTTTTCTCTCTAACAATATGTCTACTTTCTCCCCGACTTTCTGTTTCTAGGCCTTCATTCCCTCTTTATCCCCACACTGGGTAGCCTCCCCCAGGCACCGCTGCCCACGGCTCCCAGCTTCCGCCCCGCTGGCCCTCCCCCCCTTGGCTGCTGTGAGACACCCGCGGTCTCCCTGGCCGAGGCTCAGCAGGAGCTGCAGATGCTGCAGAAGCAGTTGGGAGAAAGTGAGCACTTCCTGCTGGGTTTGTGTGCGTGCGAATGGCAGCCCCGCCTGTGTTGCTCTGCATGGCTTTGGCTTTGGCTTGACGACAGAGTTTTACAAAACAGCGTAGGGGTCCCTGTGACCAGTGGACGTTGGAAGGGTAACTCTGCTTGCTTTTTTGGAAATGTATTCACTGTTCCCTTTCCGACGTGTGTGTCTCATCTGCGAAGAGGTATGTACGTTCGCCAGGCCCTAGGCCCCGCTGTCAGTGTGGGGTGCCAGCGAGTACCCGCAGAGCCTGACGCACTGGCCGCGTGCTTCCTGGCAGGGAAGGGGACAGAGCTTCTGCGCCTCGCCGCTGCAGGGTGGAGCGGCCGTGAGAAAGATGGCCACGCTCGGTGCCGTCCTGTCCATGGCTCTCGTGTCCTCCTGCTGTGAAATGTTTTTAATTGAGGTTCAGATGCTGACATCATCAGGTGGGGAGCAGAAAGGCAGAGGAAAAAAAAGCCCCTCCTCCTACCCAAGGTTTATTGCTGCCCCTGGGCAGGTGACAGTGGGCAGCCAGAACAGGAAGCACAGGCTGTGATGTCTGATCGTGAGTCCTGTCCTCGAATTCCCAGGGTTCACAGCTGATGCCATGCAGTCACGGAACTCAGACCACATGCAGTCATCGCTTAGGAAAGGTTTTATATATACATGGCTGGATGCCTCATCATAAAAAGCTTTTCATGTGTGATCACGTATAGCTTAGAAAGAATTAGGAAAGAACATCACATGATGAATTTGTTCTCTAGTAGTGCTTAAAAAAACAAACAGACAAACAGAAAGCAGTTTGAAATTACCCTAAAACTACATTCTGTGCCTATAAAGCTCAGGTGAGCCAGAGATTGATGAGTCACCACAGCCCTAAAACTACATTCTGTGCCTGTAAAGAAGCTCAGGTGAGCCAGAGATTGATGAGTCACCACACAAAGACCACAGCCAAGAATCTGTGTACCTGAAGCCCCAAATGCCATCTGGACCATCATTTGTCAGCTCTGAAAATGGACACACCGTCATCTCGGCCTCCAGTTTGGTTTCCAGAACTAGGTAGACTAAGGCCGCTTTGGGGAGAGTTCGTGTGTCTTCCTTCCTGCAGGGAGTGGAGTCGGAGGCTCCCTTCTGCTTCTCAGCTCTCTGGGCTCAGCCGTCCAGGCTTCCCTAGCAACATGCAGCTGGCCTGCCCCGAGCCTCACACAGCTGTGTGCGGGGGAGAGCCAGCGCGGGAGCCAAGGCGCAGGGACGGGAAGTTGCTTGCTCGAGGTCACTAGTCAGTGGGAGAGATGGGCTCGTATCCAGGTGTCCTGCTCCCAGTGCCGTTCCCATTACACCTTTCCTGCCAGGGGTGGTTTCGTTATCGTCCTGCTGAGAGCACGAGCTGAGCTCAGCTGAGCGGGTTCTGGAGGCCCCCCTGCGACAGTCCCTTCTCTCTTCAGAGACCAGCGGTAGGTGCTGGTGCCTCTCACCTGGAACGTATTACTGTAGCAGTTCTGGTACCAACAGTTGATGGATAGCAGATTCACCCCAGGCCAAGACGGCAGAAGTGTTCTCTAGCGTACCTCGTCCCCTTTACTTGTCCACATCTGTCAATTCGTCATTGTCCGAAGGGAGAGATGGAAGGAGAGCGCTGCACGAAAAGCGGTTGCAGATGCGGGCGGAAGTCGTATCCAGTCTGCGCCATCGACCAGACTTCGGGGGGCCCGGCCTTGGCGGGGACGGTGGCAGCCCTCGTTTTCTCTCGGGAAGCATGGTCCGCTCTGAGGGACCATCGCCTACCCGCGTGCCTTGTTTGCTTCAAACCAAGCTTCCGTGCGGCGGTGGTGCATGGCGGCTTCTCAGGTCACTGTGGCGCTGCAGCCTCGTTGTGTAAGTGTCTGCATGGCGCAGGGCACGTGCTTTGCACTGTGTGGCCGGGGCGTCTGGGACGTGAGACTCCCTCGCTGTTACCGATAGACCTGGAACCTCCTGGAACCTTGGTTAAAAAGTAAGCTGACTGTCGCCAGCCACTGATTTCCTCCTTGGCCTTGTTTTGGGGCACGGTTGGAGGTGGAGTAGGGAGGAGGTAGGAAATCACATCTTTATTGAATCTTGACTAAAATTTAGATGCTTACATTTTTCCTCCCCCTCTTTAGCTTGCAGGGATCCTAATGAATATCTGTATTTTGTAAACTGAGGAGGGAAAGACCCATGACAACACTTCCCAAACTTTTTTGCCTATTAGAATCACCTGGGATGATTTAAAAACAGCCAGTGGTCAAGCTGTGCCCCATTCCAATCAAGACAAAGTCTCTGGGGGGTCCAGGGGTGGGTGTGTGTGTGTGTGTGTGTGTGTACGCACATATATCCGCACATACACATTCACATACATACATACACACATACACACACACACATACACGTACATACAGACACATATACACACATACACATTCACATACATATATATTTAATTTTTTTTGTGCCGTCCCAGGTGATTCCAGCAGGTAGTCAGATTTGAGGACCAGTTACAAATGGAGATAAAAGTCGGCACGTGCCAAGGGCATCTCCCTCTCGGGAGCAGTTTTGCTCGGGCGGGGGAAACGATGCCCTCACTTCCATGTGCTTGGGTGGAGCAGCCCGTTCCCTCTGCTGCCCAGGTCGATAATCCCTGGAGAAAGCAGCCTTCTGAATATGAGCGTTCCAGACTCCGGCCCTGCCCACCCCTTTCTGACTCCCCACCCCGAGCTGGGTGGGCTCCTTTTTGCTTAGAAGCAGAGACGACGATGCTCAAGGGAGGACCCATGATTTCACGAGATCTATGATGAAGCGAAAGGCCCCGCCCCCCGGGAGGGGTCTGCAGTGATTCCTTAGGCAGAGCGCCGACATTTTGCAGTCCCTCGAGTCGTGGTGGGCGAGGGCCAGGTCACCACCTACCTTACGTGGAATCTCCTCCAGCCTCCGCAGAGACCTACTCCGTCTGGAGGAAATGGGGCCACCATTTCTAGCCAGATTTCATGTCCATTTTCTCCTCTGACAACCCCGGTGAGCTTCTGGGGGAGGTAAGTGCTCAAAGGCAGACAGACAGCCCTGTTCACTGGTGTGCTCAGTGCTCTAGCCCATCACGCTCTTGACCCCTGGCTTCGGGAGTGAGTTCCGCTCTGGAACTTCCCCCGACTCTCTCCTGAGGAATTACAATGGGAGCCAGGAGTAGGGCCACTGGACTTTCTCTTTTGTGACTGGTGACTTTCAGATACTTTACCTATCCCCCACCCCTTGGTGCCTCGCGCTGGCAAATGCATGGGTGAAAATTATAGCCTCAAGGTTCTAGCCTCATCTAATTGGCATTCCACAGGGGACCGGGCTCTCCAGCCCCTCACGTGCCCCTTGAGTGTCTGTTCCCAGCAGTCACACACTTCCTGGCTGCTCCTTCCTCCCGACGCTGCGTCTCACTCACACTTCTTTCTGCCCAGGTATCAGCACCGTCCATTCTGCTTCCCCAGCCGCGTTGCCAAACAACCATTTAGAAGCCACCTCTTCCCACTACCTCAGCCTCGCCCGGCCCCACGCTCTTCCCCGGGGCAGGGGCACCACGGAACTGGGCGGCATCCTGGCGCCCGGGTACCTGGGCTGCAGTGGCCAGTGGGATACGATGAGGCCTCAGAAAGGGAGCGTATCTGGGGACATGTCCTCAGGGTGGCCAGTGCTACGATGAGGCCTCAGAAAGGGAGCTTATCTGGGGACATGTCCTCAGGCTCCTCCACGTGCCAGCTTCACTCCAAACCCACAGGTAAATCACGCAGCCGTGAGATGAAATCCCACTGGGTCTCCTCTTTTTC